TCTCTCTTACAAGTGTAAATTAAGTTCATAACTCCCTTGTAAGAACTGGTCTCACAAAAGACAGACCAGCCCCATTTGGCATGACAGACAAGAAAGAGAAATACGTGACCCCATGGGTATATAAGATAGGTCCAGCACACACGCACTTTGAGTGTCATTCTACCCTCTACCTGCTGGTCGGGTTAGGTGTTTGACCTCCCGAGGTTCTATGGGGACGCCCACCTCGTATTTTCGTCTTTCCTAGGAATTGAGGGACCGGCCCTGGCCTGACATGCTGGAGTCGAGAGGCACAGAAGGGGGTAAAAATTGTACCTGGATGTGGTCCTCTGTCTTAAGTGTACACATAGAAAGAGTAAGCTGTTACTTGGTACCATTATTTCTATTTTTCTATCTTTATCTTCTTTGTAACCATTTTTAAGATCTATATTTTGCTAGTAGTTAAGAAATAGAGCAATAGCCATTGTAACCATATGATTTATAAGCTTCTTTAATAAACCTGTAACTGTTTAAGTTTTAACCTGACTCCTTCAGTTGCTGTAACAGAACCAAGCACAATTTAAAAGAACTTCAGCCGGTCTTAAGGGACAGATATAGGGAGCCCTGACCGTCGGCTGACAATTATTTATGAGCAAGGGACTGCAGCAAGGGAGTGGAAAGGTTTTCCCCAACCAAACAACATCACCACTGGGGTACTCAGGATCTCCTTTTATGTCAAAACCATCAGGCACCCAGGCACACATGTGTGTGAGACCTGCTCCCGAGTAACCCGGGGAGGAAAATGGGGGTTATATTAGTATGAATGTATGTTAATGCAAAAACTTATACATGGATGAGTGAGTTGGATTACAGTTGTAAGATACTAAAATATCTACATTTTTGCCCAATTAATCCCAACCAAAATATTTCATTAACATAATTAGTGTAAAAATATTCATGTGCATCTGTGCACTAGTATATCATTTGATTTTTACATTTTTAAGGACAAAATGAAGAGATTAAATATCTCAAAGCATCTTTTGAATGGCAAAAAACTATTTTGAGTGTAGATTTTTTTGGTAATTCAATGACTCTAACTTTACTCAAAGCAGTAGACATGCAAAAGACACTTCAAAACCACAGAAGGCACATGTCTAATAATAAAACTTGGACAACTGTTCATGTTTGAGTGAAGAGATAATCAACTCTTTCCAGATAAGAGTTTCACAAAGTGAATGCATAAGAACAACAGAAGTCATTTTTCTCTCTCTAATTCTGTTCATGCACCATGCATAAGCTCTAATATAACATTTAAAATCTGGGATATTTACCTGCTAGACACCAATGTACAGTCAATCTCTGGTCTTTTTGTTTTGGGAATGACGTAAAGTGGATATCTATCCCCATGACGAATCAACGCGTGGACAGACACAAGCTTAAAATAATGGGGTGCATGACCTATGTGAAAGGCAGTAGTAAAATTAAATATCAGTCTTAATCCTCTCCATAAATTTCTCAATCCTACTATTTCAAGTAAAAACACATGCATTATTGGTAATAATTTTTATCAACTTTGCATTCAGTGCTTAGAGAATATGGAGGATAGTCCTTTGTCCTGAACAACGTATTTATTTTAATTTAAATATTAAAAAGGCCCTACGTGCCCTCAGCAATGTTAGAAAATAATTCAAAAAGAAAATCTGCTACTATACTGCTCCTTTCTACACCTTCTTTACCATTTCTGGGAAGCATACCCATAGCCCTCTCCAAAAACTAAATTCATCAGATTTTTTTACAGCTTTCCTACAAAGTCACCAAATGTGAGCTACTTTGGATCAAGTGTACTGTTCTTTTTTATCTTTACCTTCAGTTTACTTTCTAAAAGGAACTCGGCTTAAAAAGAAAAAAGGCTGCTTTCCCCTCCCAGTCAGTATCTTTTTCAATGGTTCCCGCTACCTTAACTTACCATTTTTGAGGAACCAAATGCTCATGTCTGGTTTGAGACTTCAGCATTAACATACTCAAATTTCACACCACTAAGAAATTATTACACTGTTTCAAACAAAGTGCTAAACATTTTAAACAACAGCTACAATCTATAATTTCTTCTCCGTCTCCCCATCCCTTTTTTGATCTTACAAACAACTTAACTGTCAGTAGAACCTTTGTAGGCCTCCTTCAGCAACCAACTACAAAATTACAATGAGGGAAAGGAGGAAATGAGCACTTTTGGCAACTGAATATATTTCAGCAGCCAAATAAGATTTTTGTGGCTAGCTCCCATTTGCAAAGCATTTATAATGCATAATTAAAGTCGCCATTTCCAATGCCAACATTTAGGAACTAATAATGTCAGTTGCCTACCCCATGTCTCACAGCCTACCTTCCATGCTGCGTTCAGTTATGCTAGGAACATTACAGTAAACACGTGCTTCATAAATAGGATCAATGGCAGGCGGTTCAGTCAGTGGATCAGGCATTATTCTCTTTCGGCTCTTAGGGTGCAGCCCATCTTCCTTCACAGGGTTGACTGGAATTAAGTGCACTAAAAGACATAACATTAATAACATTTGGAGTAAATTAATCCCTATTATTATTTTAATAGTGTGCAAAATATTCAGTTGTAAAAACTAGTTATTTTACCAAAAAATGGATTTCAATGAAAACCAGTAAGACTAGATGATTGGGTTTTGTGTTCAGCCTGTCAATTTTTTATGTCCTCATATAAAGAGCTAAAGAGTCTCTTGTGTGGGTAGTTCTTGGAATAAGAACACAGAAATCTATCTGAATTTTTGCCATTTGCACTTTTTTTCCTTGAAACTGCTTGCTGTGTAGGATATTTTCACAGGGGAGGGGAAGTGAAAGCACAGGAGCATTAGACATTTAAAAAACTATACTGTATTATTAGTCTGTGGATAAGAAATGAGTCATTATCTCCCATGATTGCTGATGTCCTGACTCTTCAGCACACAAAGACCCTGAAAGGTACAGCAGGAGTTGCTGAAGAAAAGAGATACACATCTTGGTAAAGGAACTTACAGCTGTGGCATTACTGGGACTTCTGGTGAAAAGCATCTGAAAAAACTTTAGGAACTCTAGTATTTAGAAAAGGAACTTCACAATATAAAGAGTTGAACTATATTTTTGTTTGTTCTTTATGGGGACAGGAGTGACTAAACTTCCCCAACTTTTCCTATTCTAAAGTCAGATTTAATAGCTCAGGACAGTATTAACTCTGTTAGGCCCTCTTGACAGTAAATATCATAAGCATTTACTTTAGAAACTTGACACTGAAGAGTATCTTAGTTAGAAATGTTGCTTTGGTTTCCTGTCTGGAAACTAGTTCAGGCAGGGAGAAAAATGACAGATTGTTGGCTTTAAATCTCACCATCTTCTTGAAAACATCAGAAGTCTTGACTGCCAGCAGTATGAAAAAGTGAACAGGTCTAAAGTATCCTTTTTACACTTCCAACATTTCATTTCTTGTGAGTAGCAGTCAATCTTGTTTTACACATAAGACAATTTAACTCACTGACAATTTTCAGTACAAATGGTCATCAACTGAAGATATGTAGTGATGACTGGGGCATTGGGAAATACAACATGTGGAGAAAGTAGTGCATTTTACTTTTGATTGTTCTAGCTACCTAATTTATGAGCTAGTGAAAAGTGAGAATGGCAAAAATAACACAGAAAAATAATGTAAGTTCAGAATGGTTAGGTGATAAGAAAAATTCAGCTGAAGTAATTTTTTTATACCACAGAGTATTTCCCAGCTCAGGGTTCAAGCATGGCCTAACAACTGTGTGTCATGCAGGATTACTTTTTGCCAATCAGCTGTCTGCAAGGATGCACTGTCGCTGGAGCACCAGTGACGGCTGCCCAGCTGGCAGTCTAAAGAAGGGTTTTACATGTCAAGCTAGCTGTAGAGGGCTCACATATCCCTTACACATTTCCCCTTAAAAGTTGTCACTAAAGCCAATTTTGTACTAGTCAGTGTCCCTCTGTAACTCTGGGAAGTCTATTGAAAATTCATTGATAACTCAAGTAACATGTTTTTAATTAACTTTGATTTTACAGTTTCAGATATCATGCCTTTCCCTCCCAACCCCAGACTTCTTGTTTACTTGTACAATTAAATATTTTATTCACTTTATAATCATTGAAACTGAAATGATGTACTTAAATCTACATTAAAAAAAAAAAAGATTTCCTATGGGACGACAGAGTGACATCATCACATCATCTGTGTCTTCATGCCACTGCTGCCGCCACCTCCATCCTCAGCTACTTGCTGTGGCCAGCTTCAGAGCCATCTCCTCCAGCCATAAACTACTCCAGCCCTGGCTTCTGCTTCATGCCCCAGGGGGCTCTGCTGTTGGGGAGGAGCTTCTGGGGCTGGATCCCCTCCGCCATCCAAGCCCAACCCTCCAAGCTCCCTCCTCCCTTCTGCAGAGACCCCGCACTCCCAGTCTGCTCTTGCATCTTCCCCCAGCTGCACACTTACCCGCAAGCCCGCTCCTGCCCCCTGCCCAGACACCTATCCCCAGAGAGGGGGGTTGGTGAGCGTAGCAAGCGGGGATCACAGCCCCCAGTGAAGTTCAAAAACAGAATTCACTTATGTTGGATGATAGCACACACTTATTAAATTGGAAAAAAGCTATTAAAATGTATAAGAAAAAGCTAAATTACACTAGATTTGCCAACTACTGTGGTCCTCAAGAGAACAGGAATGGAACAAAACCACAGATCATGCATGGTGTCCACATCATCTCAGCATCTCTTTCAGAAGAATGTAAGAAATATAGATTTTAGAAGTATAGAGAAAAAATATCTACTTTATTTTGAAAGTTCCTAATAGCTAAAGTCAACAAAGTAGCTGTGAAAATGCCCTTGGAAGTCCCACACTAAACACCTGGGCTGTGTCTAGACTGGCAAGTTTTTCTGCAAAAGCAGTTGCTTTTGCGGAAAAACTTGCCAGCTGTCTACACTGGCCACGTGAATTTCCACAAGAACACTGACGATCTCATGTAAGAAATCAGTGCTTCTTGCGGAAATACTATGCTGCTCCTGTTCGGGCAAAAGTCCTTTTGCACAAAAGCCAATCTAGATGCTCTTTTCTGCAAATGCTTTTAACAGAAAACTTTTCCATTAAAAGCATTTGCGGAAAATCATGCCAGTCTAGACGTAGCCCTGATGTCTGAAAGACACAAGAAAACAAAATAAAAAGTTTGGGATTTGCAAAAGCTTGCCTGTACAAAATATACATTTTGGACAAAGTTGAGTTGACAAAGTCTTTTTAGATTGCCTAACTTTGAAGACTGTTTTCATTAGCAGCTCTCAAAGTCTGCATCCATAATAATGAACTCTCAAGGCTTTGCCACTGCCAACATATTTCTTTCAAAGAGGGAAAGATTTTCTAATTAAAAGTGATGAGAAAGTAGTTCATATTGTTCCCATTAGTAGTCTTCAACTGCAAAAAGGGGAGCCAAATGTCAAAACTGAAGATTTACGGATTTTCTGTGCGTGGCAATTTCTCAGTCCTATCATGACTCCAAAAGACACTGATTTTAGCAGTACATGTTATGTGGCTTAGCTGATGTGTTGGGTGCATAAGTGGGAAGAAACAATACCAGATATCTAAAAAGGTACAGGCAGTCCCCGACTTACGCAGATCCGACTTATGTCGGATCCGCACTTACGAACAGGGCTTTTCTCGCCCCGGAGCTCACGGGCGGCGGGTCGCCACCCGTGTCCTCCGGGGCGAGAAAAGCTTCTCCCGGTCTCCCTGCTCTGCTGGGGGGTTCAGCAAAGCCGCTGGACCCCCCCCCAGCACTCCAGGGACACCCGAGCAAAGCCGCCCAGGTGGCGGGACTCCCGCCGCCTGGGCGGCATTGCTCCTGTCCCCCTGGTGTGCTAGGGGGGTCCAGCAAAGCCACTGGACCCCCCCAGCAGACCAGGGACACCTGAGCACAGCTGCCAC